AAATATCTTTTGCACGAAGCTTTTAAAATCTCATCGACAAAAAGTAAATGTAATAGACATACAAAATGTATTGATATCATTCATATCACTCTTTACTATTGCAAGTGAAGACATTTCATGAAGACAAGCGAGCAGCCTCTCAGATGAGAATGAAGGAACTAGTAATGGAGTTTGTTACCATTTCAGTAGCTCCTAAAAACGAAATAGCTTGAATCAAAGTTGTAATAACAATAGATTTTGGAACAAAGTACACGAAAAAATGTCTTAATAATACTGAATTTCTAAGCATGAGCAAAGAGAAATCACCGACAAGAGTTCGAGATGGTGTGACATTTCATCTACAAATATTCGTCAATTCCTAAGCTTTACCGGAATTTTAATTACTCGAGGATTCGTCACGGAGTAGTTTTTAAAAGGAATATGTTTTGTTCTCTGTTTTTCATAAAATTAATTAAGGCAAGAATTTATCAAGAAGAGGGAAATATCCCAAGTAAAAAAATCACAGCAAGAGATTGGGTTCATTTCAACCTGGATCCAAATGAAATACTCGACTAAACCTGGAACTCATATGAATAGCCCATTTCCGAATTACCCATGGCCTCATTTTCAAAACGAGTCGTGGTGCTCATCCTTTCACTGATATGACAATAAGTTTTCATTCACACGCAAATTAAACTCATTTTGACAATAATGGTTGAGCACCAGGCCTCGTTTTGAAAATGAGGCTAAGGGTATTTCGGAAAAGGGCTATTGATTGTTCATTTTCCCTTTCACCTGCTGCACAATTCTTTCAAATTAGTGACGACAATTTAATGTCAAATCATGATTAAAACTGCCACCTGATTCAGTCATGACCTGTTTGCGGGATAATTTATGGATATTAGAGGGAGAAATTACAAGTTAATCATTGACAGGAGTTAACTCAGTGAGCGAATCTGAACCGCCATGCAGTCTTCCCAGGTTTGGTTAAATTGTTAAAGTTAGGTTAATTTTTCAACTATGTCCACCTTTACATGATTTTTCATTGTTTTCGTGAAGAAGGTTGTAACAAATAACAAGTCATTAAGTCCAACAAGTCATTAAACACGAAGGTGCGCTATATAAGGAAGTCTTCCCTGGGAAGACCTAGGCTCATTTGTCAGTCACCGTTGACGTGTATGGATCAAATTTAAATGCTGGTAGACGAACAAAAGGAGCTAATGAGATAGCTATTGTTTACTTCCACCAGCATGGTGGCATGAGGTAACGTGCGAACCACCTACTTCGATCTCAAATTTACCGCCACAAATAAAGACAGTTTCCATTGGAGAAAGGAAATACAAATCTCAAAAATTCTTGTATTGTGATGGAGACACAAAACAATTTTGAGGAATGCGCCCGCTGTTCACTGCTTTGGAGTAGCTGTAGCTCAAGCTGACTAGACTCTAAGAGTTCTACATCACACGACGGTTGATTGACAAATGGTCCATTGGGACCTAAGGCTCCTTATATAGCGCGCCTTCGTATTTAAAGAAAAATGAATAAATAAATATATAAATGTGTTGATGACGAATGAATACATAAGAGAATGAATGAATGAATGAATGAGAGAGTGAATGAGAAGAGGAGTGAATGAGAGTGATTAAATGATGCCAACGTGCAAAATTCGTGTATCAATCATGAAAAGAATTTCTCTCACATGATTGGATTTTAGTTGTGAGTTCGACTCCTTAGCCCCACCTCATACACGTTGCCGTCATAGTGTGACCCCCCCTGACTATAAACGCATCGAGACAGAAACGATCTAACTACTCCGTAAGCTCATTTGTAAGAAATGGAACTTCTTGGCATATAAGTTTGGTAATTGAAACCCAATTCAACCGAGACTTTTAAATAGGGCAATACGTTTGCAGCTAAAATAAACGGCACACACAGTTGTTCTAACTCTTTTAATTTGAGCTTCATACACCCATTTGCTCAGCGATTTATATATATTTTTAAAATAATTCATATACATATCCTTTCGTTTTCATGCATATTCTTGTAGAGGCCATTTAAGGAACAATTCTGTAATGTTATGACTATGAACTGTAAGAGCATTTTTTTTATCGTATCTGACAGCATGAGACTTGCAAACAGATAAATGGAAACGCTAGTCTATTAAATTAATCGTCTGGAAAATCTCTTTAAGTCTCTCTCTTTTTTTGTGCATTGTTCGGTACATTCGAACGTGCGAAGCAACCAACAACGTTTCTAGGTGAGCAACTTATCTTGAGAAAGAACTTGTTAAAATTCTCTTGTGCATGTCGTCCACGACTGCGTGGGTCCATTTTTACTGGATTCCGAAATGCAGGCATGTAATTTGGCACGAACCCCCAGGTATACGGTATAGCTTTCAATAAATTTTAGGTGAACTTCAATTAACAATCGTGTTATTTCTAAACTACCGCATACATCCAAGCAGTCGGGTTTTTTTTTCTAAAATCACATGGAAAGGAAAGTGCGTCATCAAGTTCTGACGTTTTCATTAGGGCTGATTAAGTCAATCAGAAGGATATTAATTGAGATAAAGCGGAATTAAACTGAGTCAAAGCCAACCGGACAAAGTAAATAATGTACATTATAATAAAGGTTAATGGGAAAGAAATGAAATATTCATTTTGCCGGGTTATGTTTAAGCTTTTGAAATTCATACATTTCATAGCCTTCTTTTTGTTTTCACTTGAAAGCGTAGCTAAAATGAAAAACAAACAATACGACGAACTTTGCCAAATTCTTCTGGATTACGCAAAATGTGAAATTTAGAACTCAAACGATGCTTCTGTGTCAACTAAATTGATTTCTGGCTAAATGTCAATGGAGAAGTAAGCACTTATTCGTTCGGGAAAAAGTTTCAAAATTCGAGAAGTGTTCCAAAGTTTGGGTTGCACTTTTAAGCTTTTTTTATTTCACTACCAACTGTATAAATCTTTTTTTCTCGAAATCTATTCACGTTTGCATGAAGAATAATCTTTTAAATTGATTATAGACTTTTTTCTTTTCGCCTGTAAAAAGATGTATGACGAGACTAAATAAAGTTTGATTTCATCTTTCCGCTGACCCAGACCGGAAATTCCGCTGTTTAGTTTCTTTCGGGGATTCGAAATATTCAATATTTAGAGAAATATTTTCAGCAACACAGCATTGGCACAACTAGAAATAATTTCGAACAGCTTACTTTTTACCGTAATACTGGCAGAAATTACAATCATGTTAAAGGCTTTATGGAGATGACAATTCGAAACATTCAATATTTAGAGGAAATATTTTCAACACCACGGCTCTACCACAACTAGAAAGAATTTCCATTTTTTATTGCAATACTAGTACTTTTGAAAAAGTAAACACCCAGGTATTTGAAATCGTGACCAAGGCTTGTAATTCAATTACTAGATGAACAATTTTAATATGTTACACTGCTACAAATTAAAGTGTTCTAGATTATTCTTGGATTTAAAAAAAGTACCCTAATTTGAAAACTTTTTTTAATTCGTGGCAAGTAAGACTATTCTCTTCTCTTGAGTCAAGCAGGAGCAAAGAAATTTTTTTTGTGGAAAAAAAGCACTCTCGGCGCCCGAGGCTGGACCGGTAGCGGCAAAGTCACTGTCAAATCTTCGGTTCGGCTTTGAATGCATCACGTATATTTCTCTAACTAATTAAATTGATCGCTTTTAAAAATTCCCATTTACAATAAACAATATAGGCTTTTGCCGGTTTTGTGAAACAGCACATTTTCCCCTTCATCTACGATGGAGAAGGTCTATGCTATTCAGTTCAACAAGTCGAGGGAACATAAGAGCTTAATGGTAAGCCAAAACCCCTTTCTTGTTGAATAATCATTACAAAAAAAAACCCCAAAAAACAAAAAAAAAACAAAAAAAAACTAAAAAACAACGCCTAAAGGGGATGTCCATATTCTTCTACTCTCAGAGCAGTTATCTTTTACTGTAAATGAATACAGTTCAAAATGATAACAATGAACGATTGTGAATTCCATTCAGACATAATAATTTTTAAGACAAGAAAATATAAAGTCAATTCAATAACCGCTCGTAACTGATGGCAAGAGTTTTTTGTTCCTATGAAATGATATCTGCGATCTCCGGCATGAGATATTGAATGAGCCTGATTTGAAAATAAACCTTGTTTGATTTGTCTTTTTCATCAAGGAGTATCGAGGGACAATACTTGTTCCTCGAGCACCTTGCAGTGGAACCCTTAACACGCCTTAGTTTTTTCTTGAGACACTTCAGCCGTTCCTTTTCACGATCAAGTGTTCCTTTCAAGATCAAGCGTTTTTCTTTAAGATCAAGTGCAACAGAAGCAGAAAATATAAATGACAACAACAAAAAATACAAACCAGCGTACCTGGTTCAATATTCTAGTCGCTTTACTGACGAAAATATCAAATTTACAAGTAACGCGAATGCTACAGTAAACCCTGTAACACATTGAAGAAAGGTCTCTGTATCAATTTCCACAGTTCGACTCTCGGATTGTTTAGGGGAGCCATGAGGAATACATACTGCTACGAATTTGAAAGCAGGTAGGTTCTTATCAAGAACCTAACAATGTAAACCGAATAAAGGGATAGGTTTTTTTTTTCATGGGCTAGTTCGCGTGTGTACCACTACCACAATGCACATGCTCACTTTCTTGCAGCAGGCTGATTTGATATACTTTCGGAATTGTTTCGTTTTTCTTTTACTGACAATTTAATGAAAGTTCTTGCAATCGTCCAGCGCGACTGGGGAGAATCGTTATTGTGAAGGAAATAAATTAATGATGTTTATCACCTTGTTATCATACAGAAGGACAGGATATTAAAGTACAAAGTGAAAATGTCATTGTATGCATGCATTTCCGGGAACTGAGCATGCTCAAGAAATTATAAAGTTAGGTGATTTAGCTTCGGGCAGAAGGCCCACAATATCTTAATACACATTTTGTTTCCAATTTGCAGATATGAACAGCAGTAACAATTCAATGGGTGATGTACACACCTCTACTCAGTGTACCTTTGGGCTTATTTCAAAAAGCCTTTCGACAAAGTTGGGTTTGACTATCGTCTATGTTATTGTGTTCATTGTCGCCCTCTCTGGAAACTGCGTCATTATTTTGATAGCAAAAACCAAAAGGCGTCTTCGAAAAGTGGCCTTCAACTATTTCATTATCTCCATGGCAGTGGCTGATATACTGGACGCTTTGGTTGCCGTACCAATGACAGTTTGGCATATCTATATGTCCAACCACTGGTTTGAAGGATTAATTGGAGATATCACCTGTAAATTTTTCAACGTTCTCTTTAACACATCACTAGTAGCCTCTATTTTTACCCTTGTGGCTATCTCAGCGGATAGGTACTTGGCGATTGTGCACGTTATGAGGGAACCTCCCTCGAAAACGAGAGTGAAATTGGGCGTGGTTTCAGTATGGTTGCTTACCGCTGTCATGTCTCTCCCCTATATGGTCAAATACAAATTTCGTCCATGGAAAAATGGACGATATTTCTGTTATGGCAGGTGGAGCGACGATTCTGGAAAAAATTTATATTTTTATAAGTATGAGGTGACAGCAAGATTTATATTCTTCTATGCGTTCCCTCTTATTGTTATAGCTGCTTTGTATTCCCTCATCATTCAAGTCTTGAAGAAACGACAAGCCTTTGGCGAAAACATGTCACAGCTCCGCATTCAACGGCAGAACATCACTGTGATAAAGATGTTAGTGACCGTCGTTCTTCTCTTTGCATTTTCGTGGCTTCCAGCCCATGTGGTGTCGATGATGATTGCGTTCGCCCCAGAAAAGATCTATTGTTGGCCAATTTCTCTCCTGTATACACTTCTTGTGCCAGGCCATGCAAATGGCGCATTGAATCCGTGTATCTACATCATCTTCAACGAGAATTATCGGAAAGGACTTAGGCAACTCCTCGTCAGATGTCAAAGAAAGACGAGAAATCGAATTCCTACTTGGAAGATTAAACAGTGGCCGACATCATCAACTCTCGAGCGAGATCCCAGCCGAGGGGGCATAAAAGGCTTCTTTCGTCAACTCTCTAAAGAAAAGAGCACTGAAACCGATGAAGTGTTTGTAACGCAGCTATAAATCAAATACTCGATGTATGGCACAGTACAAACTGACTTTTGAATCTGTTTAAGTTATCTTTCTGTGCTCTTCACTTTATTTCTGCCTTCACTTTATTTGAAAGTCAGGTGGAGTGATCAAAACAAAATGTTAAGTAAGTCACTGTCACATTTATGAACGTGAAGAACTATTAGTTATTGGTTAAAAAATGTAATTTTTTTCCTTGTGTCACGATTGAATATAATCTCCTAATTCTTTTATGGCATTATAACTTCTGATGGAGTTTAAAGTTTTACGATGGACCTCTGTACAGATAAACTTTATAACCTGAGAGGCTCTTTTTCAAAGTCTGAAGTGACTGAACATAATGATATTTGATAATGACACCCAATTGTAATGAACAGTGAGTTAAGTTAACGCATGTGTACTATAGATCAGACAAGATATGTTCTGCCCAGGATGGAAGCAAATACTTTTTAAATTAGCATTATCTCTCTTTCACAGAATATGACACCCTTAGTCTGAGTAATCCTTTTATCAGTTATTCAAGGAAAACGATCTGAGAGAAGGATATTATCTTTAAACCGGATATTTCTTACCGGCTGTGCATCAAAGTAGAGTCTATTTCTACTAAACGCTTTTGTAAGTATAATAATGATAACTGTATAAACCATAGATACGAAAATGACGAGAAATATAACAACAACCATCACGATAAAGTTTAAGACGACAACGACGACGACGACGCACATCGATGACGACGACGCACATCGATTACGACAACGAACATCGATGACGACGACGATGGTGATGACGATGATGATGATATTACAAACAATGCTCCATGATGAAGACAGTGATCCAAGCGGTAGTATAGACCGTATTGAAAGTAATAGCTATAATAATGATACTGAACAAGTTGGAAGACGTGAAGAAAAGAATTGATGTTAAGTTTAGTTATCATGCAGACTCAGTTTTACAGACATGATTGCCATGATACCATTTATTGTATGATAACATTTATTGCCTATGATACCATTTATTTCCATGATACCATTTATTGTATGATACCATTTATTACCATGATACCATTTATTGCCTATTACCATGATACCATCTAATGGTATCATGGTAAAAACATATGGAACACGCTAAGCCGGAAAGTTTCCCAGTCCATCAGAGACTTCAGTTGAGTGTTGAGTATAAAATGTGATATAAAATGTTCAGGAATATACCTAATTGACGAATTCTTCATATAGGACAGAAGTATCAATATTTAATACATGTACAGCTCATCAATCAAATTTATTCTTGTTTTTCTCGTTGCCATGTTCCCACCAATAACGTAGCTCCATTTTCTGCCTTTAAAAGCACACACAACTCACAAACCCTCTATTCGCTTTGACCAAGGGCTAACGGTCGAAACGTCAGCTTTTGTAATCGTTACGGTGGCCAATTTACCATTTCAACTTTGTTGATATATCCAAATTATTTCGTTACCCTCACCGACGCAGCCCCAAACAGTTTCTTTAGAAACTATCAGCCTTCTTTTATCAATCAAAGGACCCTTCCATCAAAAGTATTGGTTCCCAAAGTGGTTCAGAAAAGCCAAGCGGGGCTTGTTAGAATTCGCTGTATTGATTGGTATCACAAATTACATGTGCTACAACATAATTATGCAAATATAATATTCATTTCATTCAGACCGAAAAAAAGATTCGATGAGCGTAATGCGGTGTTTGTATATATATATATATATATATATATAAAATGTATATATATACTGGGGTCCAGTAGCTCTACCGAGCAAAACTGACGAAAATAAAAAAGAATAACCGTAATGAGAAATTACAGCTGATCGATTGTAAAGGAGATCAAACTACTTCGGCAATGTCATGTCATCATTTTCACGCAACAGATGTCTCCGCCCTATGAATTTCCTAGACAGAGCAGAAGAGTGTTTAGATACGACTACCGAAACTGTGCTTTACCTTTGCTCGAGCATGACTTGTGTCACAGGTTAGAATCTCTTGGTCGACAACATACCTGATCTTTAACTAATTTACAACCTCTCAGCAGTATTATGGCACAAAAATCGTTAGAATGTGAAACCTCGATAAAAAAAAAAAAAAAACGCTGCACCCAGTAACACTTGAATGAATTTAGAAATCGTTGTTATTGAAACTATTTGTGTGTGTGTTTTTAAGAAATATGAGTTGTTAATTCTCTTTGTGAAATACCCGATATGTTTTTGCTGCGGTTATCTGAGGCATGTATAAACGTCAAGAAAATTAAAAATGTCAAACACAGCATTTTATCATTGCATGTGTTATAACTTTGAAAAGCAATCGCCGTTTGCGATAAAAATCACATTTCTGCAGTAAATGAAACTATTAATGCAATTTACAATTAATTAGTATTCTTCATTTTGAGCTGCACAGCAACTACAAATGATTAAAAAACGCCATTTCATCAGACGACGCTTTTCGAAATTTCTCTTTCATATTTGGGACGTACCAATCTTGATTTCAGTACTGCATGGGTAAAACGCCAGCTGGCAGTTTGCAAACATTATTCACAAATACTTATCTTTGGTCGGAGTACTGAAGACTTATTTTTCAAAGCCAGTTTAATTAGTGGTCGCGTTATGAAATTTAACTGTTTACGTTTTCTCGTGAACAGTGTTGTTCGGTTAGGCTTCGACC